GCTAAAGTTGTGCATTTCGCAAAACTTTTGCGAAATTATTTTTTGGATTTAAGACACGGCCTTAAACGTAATTTCAAGCAATAAATATTAAATTTCTATAATGATATTGCGAAAGAAATAGATATTTATATAAAGATATTGCAGGGTGTAAAAATGTAAATATTAACATCATATTGCATATAAAAATAAATTAAAATGAATTGCTAAATAAATTATTAAAAGAGAAGTAAGGGGAATAAAATAAAATAATTATACACTTGCCAAAATATCTTTTTTTGTATATAATATATCTATTTTTGGACATTTTAATATGATTTATACTACAAGTAAATAATATATTTATAAAATAACCCTTAAGATTCCATAAAAAAGCTAATTAAATAAAAAATGAATATAATTATTTAAATGGGGTGCCAAATGTTTAAAAATTGGGTGCTAATATATTTTTCAAAATTGGTACTAATTTAAAAAAAGGTGCTTAAGCACCCAGATGCCCCTGAGATTAATCAATTTAGTTTGGATTAAATTTCATTTATTGGATGTAGCGTCTTCTAGTACAATAGAATAACTAAATTTTAGGTGTGGGCATTCTAAAATTTAAAACAATAGACAATAGTTTTATTAAAATTAACATAATTTTTTTGTTAAAGCTACTTGAATTATTGAACGATATTATCTTTCGCTATATTCTGCATCTAATATTAAATTATAATTTTCCTTTATTAAGTTCAAAATATTTTTCAAATTTTGGGAAAGGCAATTCCATAATATCATTTTTGGTGAAATTTTGTGGTTATCATCTGTCTCAAAATTATCTTTTAATGTTTATATCTATTGATAGCATTTTATATTTTAAATAACTTGATAAATAAGATTTATAAAGCATTTTTTTTAAATATAACTTTAACATAGCTACTTTCTAAAAAGCGATATCTACCTCTATCGCTATTTTTTTAAAGTAGGGTGTTATAAGCTAAGCTACTCTTTTTTTTCTCTTTAGCTTTCACCTTTTCTGGTGGTAAGCTCCTTCAACATCTCTCTCCACTTTATGTTATTAATACAATCTCTTTTATCTAATTTATACTTCTTTATATTGGCTCTAACTTTATGGCCCCATTGAAGTTTTGGCCTTCCTCTTTTACGTTTGCCCATCACTTCCAAACTCTTAACTTTATTTCCTATGTAGTTCATAGGCCTTCTCATTGTGTGCCCATACCACCTAAGTCTGTTTACCATTAACTTAGTCTTAAGGGGCACTACCTTTAAACTACTTAGTATTCTTGTACTGCGCACTTTATCCTTTCTTGTTACCCCAGCATTCTCATCTCCATGGTTTGTAGACTTCTCTCGTCTGATTCTTTGGTTGGCCATGTTTCCGAACTATATAGAATAGTTGGTTGTATTATGGAACTGTAAATTTTTCCCTTTAATTTGTGTGGGATTCTTTTATCAAATAGCGCTCCAGATAAAGATCTCCACTTTAGCCACCCTTGATTAATCTTACTCTTTATCTCTTTTTCTATTGTGCCGTTTGTTTGTATAGTGGAGCCCAAATATTTGCAGCTTTCAATTGCCGATATCTGCATTCATTTATATCAATACTCTCTGTTTCATCTCCTCCTATCACCATATACTCCGTCTTTTCTCTATTTACTTTTAATCCGTGCGTTTCTAGGATATTTATCCAACTCACTAGTCTTTCTTTCATTTCATCCTTAGATTCGGCAAGTATCACAATATCATCTGCAAATATAATATTCCACGGGACTGTTTGAGGTATAGACTGTGCTAATACATCTATTACTGTAATGAAGAGAAGTGGGCTGAGAGCCGACCCTTGATGAACTCCTTCGGCTATTGAGAAGCCTGCTGAAGTACCTGTTGTGCTACGGACCATTGTTGTATGGCCCATATACATATCCTGTATTATTCTTATATATTTTTCGGGAATATTTTTGTGGCGTAGCGCCCACCAGATAAGTTTTCTTGGGATTCTATCAAAGGACTTTTCTAGATCGAGAAAGACCATGTGTAGCTTTTTGTTCTTTTCCCTGTATTTTTCACTCATTTGCCTAATTGCGTGGATAGCATCGATTGTTGATCTTCCAGGCATAAAGCCAAACTGAGTCTCTCCTATTTCGATTATATCTCTTAATCTTTTTTCTATTTTTTTCGTATAGTTTTAGACAGTGTGACATTAGTTTTATGCCCCTGTAATTTTGACAATTATGTGGATCCCCTTTATTTTTGAAGATAGGAACTAGATAGCTCTGCCTCCATTTTTGGGGAACCTCTTCATTTCCAAGTATCTTATTGTATAGATTTGTGAGGAGATGTATTCCATCATCTCCTAGTGCTAGGCTTTCTATTGGAATATCGTCTGGACCCCTAGCTTTGTTGTTTTTCATATGCTTGAGGCATGTGATTATTTCTTGTTGTGTTATAGGTTGTACAAGGTTTTGACAAGGGGAGTGTTCGTCTAGATGCAGTATGTGCGGATTAAAGTTGAGAAGCTCCTGAAAATATTCTCTCCATCTACTCATTATTTCTTTTTCCTTTATTATCAATTTCCCATCTTTATTTTTGATTACTTTCGGAGCTCCGTTTATATCCCTAGAGTTCTTTTCTCGCTGTTTGGCTAATCTGTATATTTTATTTTGCCCTTCTTTGGTATGTAGATCTTCGTACATGTCATCGTATGCCATAGATTTGGCTTTAGCCACCGCCTTTGTAGCTAATCTCTTGGATTTTTTGTATCTTGTCTTGTCATCTGCGTTTTTGGATTTGTACCATATTTTATAAAGGGCTTTTTTCTCCTGTATAGTGGTTTGTACCTCTTCATTCCACCACCATAGTTCTTTGTATGATTTGTTGCCTCTTCTTGTCAAGCCTAGTGTCGATTTGGCAGTGTCTATTAATCTGGATGAAAGGTCTGTCCACATTTTTTCACTGACTTGTGAGGAATCTATTGTTTCAATGTTTGCATTGATTGCAAAGGCATCTGTCATTGTTTTTAATTTGCCCCATTTGATGCATGGTTCCAGTTTTATCTTGTTTTGAGTGGATTTATTTGAGATGTGTAAATCCATGACTAGTAGTTTGTGTTGTGCGGCGATATCTTCTCCTGGGATGACTTTGCAGTCTATTACATCTTTTAATCTTCTGCGAGAGATTAGTATGTAATCTATCTGTGTTTTCCTTGTACCACTTTCGTATGTTATTAAATGACTATCCTTTTTCCTATAGTAGGTGTTGGTTAAGGCAAGGTCGAAGGCTTGCGCAAATTTCAGTATATGCTCTCCTTCATCATTTCTTTCTCCATATCCAAAACCACCATGATGCCTTTTGTAGCTATCTCTTGCTTTCCCCACATGCGCATTTAAGTCACCACCAATTATGACTAGGTCATCCTTAGGGATTTCTATTACCGCTTCATCGAGGATAGCTCTAAAATCATCTTTCTCTTCTTCCTTGCAACCCGTTTGAGGAGCATATAATGAAAGGATGTGTAGTATTGATTGACCAATGCAGAGTTTTATCTTCATTAGTCTATCAGAGATCCTGTTGACTTCTACAACTGAGGAGGTTAGATCTTGACTGAGGATGATGCCGACACCGTTCCTATTGCTAACAAGTCCATTATAGTACAATTTATACCCATCTCCAATCATCAAAGTCTTCTGTCCTTTCCATTTCGTCTCTTGTATGCACGCTATATCAACTTTTCTCTTGTTCAACATTGATGCCAATTCTCTCGTCTTACCTTTAAGCGTCCCAATATTCAAACTTGCTAATCTTGTTTTCTTTGCTTTGACCTTTACTTTACTTTTCACAGGATGGAGGTCTACACCCTGCGCGTCGCATGGAGGGAACGCCCTAGCTTTCATATTAATATTTCCATTTGTTTTCTTCATTTTGTTTATTGGACAGGTATCCTTAGTACCCGGCTGTCCAGGCCTGTCGGTGACCGGGGTGTCATCTCTAAGCTCCGATATTCATCATACCATATGTCTTTACACATCAGTCATCGAAGAAAAACTTGAAAGTTTTTATGGTTCTTACCAGGATTGAACCTGCGTACTTGTTCATACTCGTGTTTCCAAGCGTACATCTTACCCATTAGGTAAAATAAAAACTAGGGTGCTACAACTTTTGTATTATTTATGCAATCTATTATAGTAAATATGAAATAAATGACTTAATTTGATATTTATAATTGTAAGAATAATTTATGCATTATTTATATCTTTTCAAAAAAATTCCCTTAAAAAGCAAAAAATAATGAGAGGGGAAGAGGGTCATAAATGAATTGGGTTAGCTCTTAAATGCCCTTCTGTAGTTACGACCCTGTATATATATAATTTACGATCCGGGGTTAAGTTTCGAAAATGTTTAAAGCCATACAAAAATATTTGTAGTTTTTCTTCACAAAAAATTATTATGGGAAGGGCCGGATAAAAATTATTATGGACCAGGCCAACATTTCAAGGGCAGGTTGAAGCAGAACCGACCAAATATAAATATTATAGTAAGGAAGCATTTTATAATTAGAAATTTGTATTTAATCATTTATAAAAATAAATAAAATAATTAGTAGTTTCTAATTTATAATCATTAATTCTTATCATTTGTAAAAGTTAATCAATAATTTTTATTATGATTATGTTACTATAAATGTTTAAATTATTCGACTACAATGTCGAACTACAATAAAAATAATGGATGAAGTAAATATTTCAATCTAGTTTGAGTCATAATAACTAAAAACTTTTTTTACAGTCTATTTAGTAAAATAGTTAATAAACAAATGGTTAGGAAACAAAAATTTAGTACAATAGGGTAATTTAAAAAAAATATTTATTGCCTTGTGGTACATTTTTATTAGATTTTATCACTATTAAAAATGTCTAATAAAAAAAACCTCTAGTTTTTTGATGGGGAAAAAATTTATTATAAAGCGTGCAATTTTAAACAAAGTTTCATATTAAATATTAAAATACCTCTGAATCTACAAAATAATCGAGGTTAATATGAAGAATAGCCATGATTTGTGAATCGGATTGACTAGAGCCGCATTTAAGACTCAAGGTTTTCCATAAGCCTGATCTATTTACACAACTAAAGCAAGGAAGATTTTTAGCGACTAAACACGTTTGAAATTTCTTTAATTTAGGATTGAAGGGGAGGGAAAATATATTAAATTTGCAAAATTAATAGTAGTGTAAGAATAAATTTTCAGAATTCTCGGGATCATTTTTGAAAGTGAGCTAATAAATTAAGTAAATTTAAATCTCCTTTATTTCATAAAATATAAAAAAATAATGGTAAATACTATAATTTTTATTCCTTTTTATATAAACAAAATATTTTTCATATAAAAATTTGAATGCACTTAAAATAGACGATTTACAATTTATAAATAATAATTTATCCAAAATAAAATATTTGTATAATAAAAATATGAAAAATCGAACCATAAAAATTAAATACACCAAAAAAAAACTACTTTTACCAGACATATCTGCATAAAAAACCAAAATATTTAATTACAATTTATTTAAATTCCATAAAGTTCAAATCTTGTAACACCCTTTCTATTCGAAGGACTGCGTTAATCCAGGTAGAAGAGAAATTTCGACTGGTTTTGCTGTATACCAGAGATGGAAGTTTTCAGGACATTTATGCACGCGCATCGCACCAGCAAAATTGGTTATTTTGAACACCATCTATGCTTAGCAGAATTTCTGTGAGTAGGGTTCACAGAATTGCCAGTCAGAAAATACTTTATTATAGCTCATGCATGCTGGTGCTTCGTAAATAATACTACTTTGATTTTAAACATCTATCATTGCCATTCGATCTTTACAAAAGCCCTTGTAATACTTCTGAAACTTACTTTCCTGGATTAATGACCATCACTGAATACCAAACAACAATAACGGGCGGCTGTACAGCAATACAATAAGTGGTTTCATATGCCTGCCAAAACACATCTGATGCTAGTTTTTTGATAAGACGATCTCTTCCCATTAGACAGTTAGATCACACACCGCTCACATTAAGTACATCCCATAGCGTGCATCATGCTTCTACCTGTAAAACAGCAGCTGAGACTTGTCCACTTATATTAGGTTGCTGAAATATAAGATTAGCATAAGTTTTAGCCTGTTTGACCATAGCATAAGGCATTCTGGCTTCATTAGTCCAGGAACGTAATCCCAAGGCCAAATATAATCCTATCTGAGTGTCCCATAGGAAGAATTCATGACTTAAAATCCTAATATTAACAGTCTAACTGTAGTGCTACGACCCATCAACAGAAACATAGCAAAGAAATAAAACATGATTAATTGCCTAATAAGCGTTAGGAGTCCTTTATGCCCACTGCTGCGTGCCAACAATATTGGCACTGCACATCCCTCGATGAAAACATTGGTATATTAGATAGTAACATACCTCGAGACTCACAGAAACCAAAGCTTGAGCGATTTCCTGAAATGAATTATTTTGGCATGCCGCCTTCGGCTGAATATACTGACAAGGATATATACCGCCTTGGAACCTAACAACCTCCATGTGCCATGCCACTACTAAGGCTAAGAATTAGATATACGGTATGAACTTATCCGTTTTGAGTAAAGCACGATCGGATATTGGGCGATAGAGCCATCACTCACACCTGTTGAATGACGTTCTGGATAAGTCAATCCTGAATTCAAAATGACATTTACCCCGCAGCAGGACCTCTATTCAATGACATTCAGACCGCGACACCTGCATTGCTATTAATAATGTCGGAAGATTTTTTAACTTGGACAGCAGAAGCATTAACACCTGCTGCGCCTTACGTCAACTAGCAGATAAGAATTTTTACCCTGAAGGCTTTTTTGGTGGCTTGCAGCATTGTGCAATGCAGCATCCTAGGGGTTAACCATGCTAAACTCTAGAGTAGCCACGCTATCTTCCTGAAATCCAGCATATAGCTAGCTACAAGCTCCGCAGCTCAACCTATTATGCTAATTAGTGAAATGTATGCTAACGAAGTCTTACCATATCTGCGACTGCTAACCCTAGCGGAAGCTGGTGACCCGCATCTGCTTGCCAGTATTATGACTGATTGTGAAATCCCCGTTAATACAATCTACTATAGTCCTATAGAAGTACACGGATCCTAGCCATTGATGTGTGGAACACTGCACTCTTATTTATGGTGCAAGCAACATGGATTTTATAACTATGCTGATGTTATCAGCAGCCTATGCTACCAACTCAAGACATGAGTCAGTTTTGCACTAACATTACTTGAAATGCTCTGCACTTTACTCACACCAATACGCCTAACCATAGTGCAGATATGTTCAACATCAGAAGAAATCGACCAGCCTGAAAGTCATGAACTCTTTCTACTGGGCACTCAGATAGGATTATCTCTGGTCTTAGAAATACGCTCATGGGCTAATGAAGCTGGAATGCCATATGCTATGGTCTTAAAACGGGGTAAAACTGAGGCTAATCTTATATTGCAACTTAATGTATGTGGCCAAGTCTCAGCTGCTGTTACAGGTAGAAGCATGGATGCACGCTAGGGATGTATTTAATGTGAGAGGTGTTATTCTGAGTTCTAAACCTCACTTTGACAATCAATAAAATGATGGAGTGGTGGCGAGGACATGATCGAGCTGTCCAGTGGGAAGAGATCATCTTCAAGAAACTACTATCAAAATTTGCTTTGGCAGGCATTATGAAACCACTTATTGCTGTACATCCGCTCGTTATTGATGTTTGGTATTCAGTTAGTGTCACTAATCCTGAAAAGTAAGTTGCAGAAGTATAACAAGGGCTATTGTAAAGATCGGATGGCAATGATAGATGTTTAAAATCAAAGTAATACGAAGCCAGAATGCATGAGCTATAATAAAATATTTTCTGATGGCAATTCTGTGAACCACGGCAAATCTGCAAAGCACAGATGGTATTCAAAATTACGAATTCCGATGCGTGTGCATAAAAGTTCTGAAAACTTCCATCTCTGGCAATGTTATAAAGGCCAGCCGAATTTCTGTTCTACCTACCCTAGATTAATACAGTCCTTCAAAGAAAAATGGTGATACAAGATTTGATCTTATTTTTATGGAATTTAAATAAAATTGTAAATAAATATTTTGGATTTTTATGCAGATATGTCTGGTTAAAGTTGTTTTTTTTTGAGTATTTAATTTTTGTAGTTCGATTTTTCATATTTTTATTATGCAAATATTTTATTTTGGATAAATTATTAGTTATTAATTGTAAATCGTATGTTTTACGCGCATTCAAATATTTATATGAAAAATATATAGTTTGTATAAAAAGGAATAAAATTATAATCTTGACCATTATTTTTTTATATTTTATTAAATAATTAATTTATTAGCTCTCACTTTCAAAAATAATAAAATGTATATATATATTCAAATATGTCTACAACATATAGTTTGAAGCAGAGATACCTGCGCCGATATTTTCAATATCAGTATATCGATAATAAAAAGGTAATTAGATATAATAATTAGCATTAAGGCATTATTTATTTAAAATTTAGCCTCACTATTTAATAAAAAACTATGACTGTTTATCCTAAAGTTTCACATATCAATTAAGAATAATATTAAATTATTTTCAAACTTTAACAACAGACTTCATTTCCTCACTAACATGAAGGCATTCATCTATAGGGGCAACCAAATCACATCCAGATTTATAAGAGGAGACTCTGAATCCGATTACTAAATGATCAACTTTTTCTGTATTTTTATAAGTTTCTTCATTATCACATTTTGAAGTGTCTAGATGGCCAATAGTGAATTCGCATTTATTTCTGTATCCATATATCAACGGAGATGGTTCCATATTTTTCAAAATATTTTCAATTCCATCTAGTAAGCCCAATTTTACAATCAAGGTATCTTTCAAATTAGTTTGTTTTAACTTCAATATTTTTTTTGTTGAATATAAAGTTAATCCAAAAATTCATTAATAAATAAAGGGCTCAAACCAAAAGCAAAAAAAAATTAGTCAAATAAAAATGCAATTTCTGAAAAACCCAAAATAAATAAAATTTAAAAAATGTTGCCAAATTTTTAAAATTAAATTATCTCTTTTTCTATAAAACCTAAATCAAGTCAAAAGTAAAAAAAAACAAAGGCCACCTTAAGAAAACCAAAAGCAATATCTCATAAGGGATGGTAGTGAAGGTTAAATGTCTGCGCTTCTTAGTAGGTCAGGTTTGAAGCAAACTGTGGTGGTTTAATTATTACAGTTCAGTTGTTTTTTTTGCAACTGGTTTTTGGTTTGGACAGATAGAAAAATTATAATATCTTTTCATAATTATCAAATAAATATAAACAATACCAAGAAGTTTCAGAATCTATTAAATTTTATTTATATACAAATTTTAAAACAGTTTCATTATGATGTAACCTAGCTAAGAAAAACTATTATCTTTATTTGAAATTCAAATTTATATTTGGCAACTCTAACATTTAATTATTTATCTTATAAATTTTGATTATTAGAATAACATTTTATTTTATTATTTTAGTCATATTTATTTGGTATTTATTTTACTTTAAATTTAAAATTCGTTTTTGTATATATGGTAAGAAATTCTGTAATATAAAAGGAAATACTTGATTTAAATAAAATAATTTAGATAATTCCCTGACTTCCATATCACTCATAATAGAAAACTATTTGTTTTTTATCAAATTTTTATATTAGGGTAGGATTTCTTAAAAATGCTTTTTGTTTCCTGAAAGTGTTAAAAAGTTACTTAAAATGTCTTGTAGTGAGGATGACAATATGCATAAAAATAGATGATGCTGATAACTCTTCATAAATGAATGAAAATAAAATTTTTCATCCAAGGGAAAGGTATATGTTAATATAAAATATTATAATAGTCTATCTATTTTATTTAGTGTATGGAAATTGTATTTTATTGGTAAAAGGCATCAAGAATCATGAAGCAAGGTTGGAATGTGTTATATTTTTATGCAAACCCAAAAAGTATTATCAAGGGAACTTTATTACACAACAAATTTTAGGAACCACATTGTTGTAAAAATTCTTAATATTATAATCATTTTTAGAGATATTACCCAATTATATTGAGTTTAAATTACTTCCATTTTGAGGGTCAACATAAGAATTTCAAATGCTTCATAAATATTGGATAATAAAGGAACTATTTTTAGATATAAAACTTCCTTCTGTAGCAGTAGAAAGACTATTTTGTAAATTGAATACCACCCTCATTATTGGGAGACTCTAAAAAAAAATTCCACAACAAAAAATGAACTCTATACCATAAATCACCCAAAATTTAAATTTCTCCCTGATTATTTTTATATTTTACCTTAAAAAATTAATAATAAAATTATAAATATTTAAAAATTATTAAGAATATTACTTTCAACTGTTCTAAATAACTTATATTCCAATATGGCGTAACCACATCTTTCACATTTTTAATAGTTGTTTTATTATCTAATGGTAATTATGTTTGCTACTTATAATAATATAATATCATTACCATTAGTCTGATTGGATATTATAAAAGGATCTGCTGATGGTTTTGCTATCTAATTAATTTTATAAAAATAAATAATGTTGTTAATTTAACTTTAACAATTAGTTTACAGTTTTTATATTCAATATCATTTAGTTTTTCAATAGCAGATAGTTGATCTTTTTCATTTCTAAAATAATTAATAATTATTATATTAATTCAGATATTTAACTTAAATGTTATGAACAAATGGGGATGTTTGGTTCTAACATATTTCATTTTATGTGGATTGATATCATATTTTTTCTGCAAATATTTTTTAAATTGATTATATCCAAAAAACCTAGGAAGATTTTCTAAAAAAAAATCACGGTTTATTAAAGATTAGATCTACTTATTTCAATTTTATATAACTCAGATGTAAAATGAGAACTTTTCGTATACTCATATGGATCCATATGATTGCTTCGATTAGTATCGTCCCGTAGTCTCGAATTATGATTAACTTTATACGTTTTGTCGCTTTACGAAAAGGTGAAAAAATGTGAAATTGGATTTACAAGCTAAATACCAATTTTCAATTAATACCTTGAGTATGCAGATATTTTATGCTATTCTAATTATATTATTATATTTATATAGTATATATAGGTGCACATTCTATTATCAATCAAAAGGGTCATATCCTACCGAGACCTCGGATATGCATTATTATGATATTTTGTTTTCTATTAAAATATTAAATTTTAGTAGATCAACTTGCCCTTAAAAATAGACCTCTCAATACTCCATTCAGTCCATAGAAAATATTGTACATATTCTCCAGTACTAATATAACAAAGTACTATATTTAACAAAAAAGATATATCTTATAAATTTTATTTATTTAAAAAATTAGGCTGATTGGTTAAATTATTTTTTACTATATCAATTATAAAGCTATTCAAAATGATATTCCTATTCTCACCCAAGAAGCTGTTGTCAGCGAAAACAATTATGCATCAATTCTAAGTAAATATAATATGATTAATACATTTACTATATCAATTATAAAGCTATTCAAGATGATATTTCTATTCTCACCCAAGAAGCTGTTGTCAGTGAAAATAATTATGCATCAATTCCATATCAATAATATTCATTATATCAATTTAATTGCAATGATATACAAAATTAATTTTCTTTTTATTTTATTTTTAAATAGATCAATCACCATTCAATTTTCAAGATTTATTATTTTTAAAAAAAGCATTTTATAAATTTATAAAATCAAAATATAATAATGACCTTTTATATTCTAATAAGTATTTATATATTAATGATAAATTATTATATTATAAATGCCATATAAAACATTGTAAAGGGAGGGGAATTTTAAATACATATTTTATTATAACACAAAAGCATATTGATCATAATGATGAAGAAATATATAATACACTCATAACGATCAATATGCTTAAAACAGAACTCATGCCTGATTTTATATAGTATTAAATTTATCCACAATTTGTGAGAATTTTTATTTATTTATTAATGTTTTATATTTCATTTATCCTCATATTTTATACAAATTATTTTTTTCCATGTATTTAACGTTATTCGTATATTTTATACTAAATGATACCCTTATAAATAATGTATTATAAGATTATATATTTTTTTGTGAAATAAATATGATTTAATAAAAAAAAATATATCCTTTAATGCTTATAAATGTGTCTCATAGTGATAAGTATAAATCCAACGATAAAAAATTTATTCAGGGATTTCCTATTAAGATAGGTAACTTATATATATACTAATAGAATCTTAAAAAAATTAAAATAAAAAATTTATTCAGGGATTTCTTAGTAAGATAAGTAATTAACATATACCTATTAATCATAAAGCAATATATTATATAAACCAATATATATTTTTATATCTAAATATATCATAAATAATAATTAAATTTTATATATGATGTAAATAAATCATTAAATTATATTCAATATATAAGTTAATTTTTATAACTATGTTAATAATATTAACTATTATATTAAATTTAAATATATTGATTACATTATATTATATACTACAAACAATCATATTTAATTATTTTATATATCATTTAATATTAAATACATATAATATTAAAATTATATTATATACTTTATTAAATTTAAATATATTATTTACATTATATGCAAACAATTATATATTTAAATTTATAATAATTCGTTATATCAATTAATTTAATATTAATTATATAAATTATAAAATCTGTCTCATTTGTAATTACCGTTGAAATTTAGGCAGGGGTGCCTTTGATCGTAAGACACTTCATCGTATTTTTCGTCCAACTCGTCCAATTCGTAAAATGGAGATTAATAATTTATGGTAAAATTTAATTTTTTACCATAATCTTACGTTAAATGTTAATAATTCTTTTGGAATGTTAATATTTCTTTTGGAATGGTAAAATTTAATATATATTATTCAAATATAGAATATTTAGCAGGTTTCAAATGGCAAGATATAATTGCTACAGCAAATTAAGAAGATTAATAGGTTTAAAATGGTAAAATTTAATATATATTATTATTCAAATATAGAATATTTAGCAGGTTTCAAATGGTAACAATACAACCTAGGATATAATTTATAATTAAGAAGATTAATAGGTTTAAAATGGTAAAATTTAATATATATTATTATTCAAATATAGAATATTTAGCAGGTTTCAAATGGTAACAATACAACCTAGGATATAATTTCTATAGCAAATAAAGAAGATTAATAGGTTTAAAATGGTAAAATTTAATATATATTATTATTCAAATATAGAATATTTAGCAGATTTCAAATGGTAACTAGCTCTTACACAATATCAAAAGAACAACCTAGGATATAATTTCTATAACAAATTAAGAAGATTAATAGGTTTAAAATGGTAAAATTTAATATATATTATTATTCAAATATAGAATATTTAGCAGATTTCAAATGGTAACAATTTATCTTAGCTCTTACACAATATCAAAAGAACAACCTAGGATATAATTTCTACAGCAAATTAAGAAGATTAATAGGTTTAAAATGGTAAAATTTAATATATATTATTATTCAAATATAGAATATTTAGCAGATTTCAAATGGTAACAATTTATCTTAGCTCTTACACAATATCAAAAGAACAACCTAGGATATAATTTCTATAGCTAATTAAGAAGATTAATAGGTTTAAAATGGTAAAATTTAATATATATTATTATTCAAATATAGAATATTTAGCAGATTTCAAATGGTAACAATTTATCTTAGCTCTTATACAATATCAAAAGAACAACCTAGGATACAATTTTTACAGCAAATTAAGAAGCTTATTTTATTATTCAAATTTATAATGTACATGACATATGTTAATTATTTCAAATGTATAAATCGAATACAAAAATATAAACAACTAATATTTATTTAGCATGTATAAAACAAATATAAATTATTTACAATAAAAATTATATATTATCAAATAAATTTGAATTATATATTAATTTAATATAAGCTGATGCTTTATCAGCAAATTCAAAGGGTTGACATGGAGTAAACATATTGCCTAAAAATAAAATAATTGATGAAACTAGTTATAGTAGTTTGCTACAGAGAGTTGAGATGGGGCACATATATTGCCTAAAATTATATTGATTATAGAAATTTTAATTTGTGAAACTTGATATGGCATTAACAGGTTGCATGTTCTGTGTTACTAAGGGTTGACATGGAGTAAACATATTGCCTAAAAATAAATTGATTTAGTGATTTATTTATAAAAATATTTACCAATATGTGATTTACACTGTTCTATGGTATGATCCTGCATCTCTGTGAACCTACCTGATTGTAAAATACCCCGTCCTAAGCAACTCCTTTGTCTACACCTGTAATACGATGTGGCATTTATTACTCTATGGATGGTATATTCTAAATCATTAAAACATAAAATATCACGTCCTCTTTTGGATTTTTTATTAGTAATTTTGTTTTCTAAAATTAAAACTAAATTATTTATATATAATTAGATTGCTAACTTTGAATTATAGTGGGATTAATTCTTCTCTCAAGAAGAAGTTTGATATTGTTTGACACCGTTTTAATTTCCATTATTATGATTAAAATTAAAAATATGTTTACACTTTTGTATTTCCCGCACTTTAATGGACCAATCACAGAATTGGACGAAACTTTACGATGAAGTGTCCATACGATCATAGGCACGGAAATCGAAATTTATTAGCGGCCATGTTTTAATTTAATATTAATATTTTAAATTCTCTCGCTTCAACCTTTAGAGGCCATATTAGTCGCCATTTTAGCTTATTTGTCTTTTTGATATTTTTTAATATTCGATATAGTGGACCCAAATCCTTCGATTGTATCGCTAAAAATAAAATTGATATATAACGTTGAACGTTATTGATTTTCATAATGATATAAGGAAGGCAGTGAGAAAACAATAAATTAAATTACTTTTTTTATTTATCTAAATTATATATATCTATCTTTTACAATTTTTATTCTATATATATCTGTATATTAATTTTTAGTTAAAGAAAAAGAATTTAATTTAAAGTTTTTACATATAGAAAAAGAAAAGTACGAAAGTAAATATTTTAAGATTATAAAATTTTCAAGGTTATATATTCATTTTATTTTTACATTTTTAACACATCATTCATCCATATATATCTGGGATATGAAATCCATATGGATCCGGAATCTCAGTTACTTTTAAATATTTAAAATCTGATTCCAGTGTATGTAGAATATCTTATCTTGTGATAGTGGAATATTATTTTGTAAAGAATTTACATATTTAATGGGAGTTATTGTTAAAAGGCCCGATTTGGGTTGATTTTTAAAAAAGGGCCCAATTAAGATATAACCAATTTTATATGTTAGCATGAAGATTTCCCTCATAAATGACAGAAGGGTTTGGATCTCTATATTCCAAATCTTTAGACATAATATTATTATGACTTAAATCTTAATCTGTTCTTTTTTAAGAATTGACCCAAAAAGGGCCGTTTAAAAACACTACTCCCCTGCCTTCAAAAAAAAAGGAATATACAGTCATCCATAGCCAAGCTATTCGAACATATATCTGTAAAATTATTTTCAAGTTTAACATCACTAACGTAATTAGCATAGATTTGATTTTTTAGTTCATTAAAATTGTGATGCAATTCTTTGAATGCTGTTATTTGGAAAATTGTCGTATTATATACAGAGAGGAAGACTATCAGGAGATTTTCTTGTTAATTAACAAAAAAATAAAATGAATGTTATAATAATATTCATTCTTTTTTCTTGAATAAAGTTACTTCTAATTTATATAATTTGTTATATTTTTTTAATTTTAATTTTAATTTTTTGTACTTTTTTATTATTTTAATTTATGATTTTACGTTTGCTTATAAATTTGTTACATGATAAAAAAATAAATGGCGATGTGATTTAATACAAAGAGTATCTTAATTTTGCCTATAATTATCTTTATTATAGGTTATTATTTTTATTTAACCTAAAGGTTCAACAATTTTTTCTACACTATATATCCCATAAACTTCAGGCAATCGCCATTTTTAATATTAAATCTATATCAAAAATATCTATAAAAATTAATATATAAGACTAGTTCAAAGGTTTATGACAAAATTGGTTTAAATGCTTAGGGTAGTATTATACATACAGAAATAAATTTCCAGTTAAACCAGATTATCAAAATTTCTCAGTGAATGATTATAAAATTGAGATTCCATATTAATTGTTTTTAAGTAGCCTAGTCGGTGATTGCCCATATCTACCGTATAGATCGAAGTTCGTATCCATTTTTTTGTAAAAAATGTAGTTGCTTTTAATAACTATTTACATCTAAAACTTTTATTGGTAAAATAATTTCCAGACGATTATAATTTTAGATTGTTCTATCTTATGCATTGACAGTAAAATTATATCAAGTTTGGAGTTAGCATATAAAGTTGTGTTAAAATAATGATCCGACTATACATATTTGCCTATCTTTGGAAATATATTAGTAACATCTATATATATATGTTTGGCAATACCAGCCCGGTTAGGCTATAAAATGAGCTAATATAGATGAGATTGATAAAACTTTACTGTTAGAAATCAGCCATGATATCAGAGTCTACAGTCAATACTCTACCACGAATTAATAAATAATGCAAAAGTTATTTTTTAGAACCTGAATTAAATTAAAAAATTCATCATACAATGAATGCTTTGTTATATACAGTTTTTGGAATGAAAATGAGTTCAGATAGAATATATTACCCTTTTAATTTATATATAAAAAGATAGTATAAAACAATCCAGAAGTAAGTTTTATTTGAGAAATAAGAACTACCTGTATACAGTGTAGCTTGGTTGATGTTCAGCAATATCATCTATACATGGCGTAACCAATGATTGCAAGGAATTTATAGCTGGAGGGGGGTATTCTTTTTTAAATAAAACAATTTATTAGGCATTTATATAAATTTTTTGCTACTAATTAAAATTTTTTAAATGTAATATGAATACAAAATTGTTAAATATGGATTTATAATTATTTTATTTATACTAGATGTTGTTTAGCATAAATTGCAATTTATTTTATTCATTCGTTGTATTTTATAAAATGATTATCTATTAACATTTAACACAATTATATTATTTCATTCACATGACACAAGATTAAGAATTTTATTGATTGTAAAAATATATATATAATTTATAGTTGTTGCAACGTATTATTTAGATAAATTAATTAATAAATATTCTATTTGACAATTAACTGCTCACCTTAACGTGGTGGCAGCGGAAATTATAATTTTAAAATCTTTTAATTTTTTTCTTCAATAAATAATTTAGATCATGACACTGGAATCGTACCAAATGGAAATGAATATGATCAAATGGATGAATCAACTATGGGCAGGATAATTATTAACCTAAATATCAAACTAGACGAGTTAATCATAGGCAATAGAGTTGTTATAAATGGAAACGGTTATTAAAATTGGGTATATAAACTTACAAGAACCAATATAATAGTTGGACATTAGCCTATGAATTCTATATAGTGAAACTAAAACCAATGATGATTTACAAAATGTTGATTGATTATATATTTAAATAAATTTAAATTTGAATATTGTTTATTTTATATTAACTATTTAAGTTGATTATTTAATATGTTCAATTAACTTTTTATATTTATATATATAATGTTTTTAGATAAAAAATATATAGTAATAAATTTGATTTAAATTTAAATAGTAATAGTTGAATTAAGTCCTTTCTTTTATTTCTTTTATGGTGCCCCGGTTACGGTGGTACGTTTTTCGTTTTTCTTTCTTTTTTTAAAAATAAAATAAAGTTAAATAATAAAAGTTTAAAAAAATAATATTTAAAAATATCCTTACCTTGATTTCTTTTGTAAAAATAAAAAGCAAATTCGTATTTCGATATGGGAGATGATAAAGGACAAATAAATTTTTTGACTTTTCTTTTCGATAGTCAAAATTTTATCCAAATTTACAAAATTATAAAAAGGTAAAAAAAAAATAAAAAATAAAATAGAGTATATATATATATAAATAAAGGAGTTATATGATAAAAAATATTTTTTCGTCTAAATCTTTCAATTTTTACGTCGTGATGTTTTGTTTTAAAACTTATGATATACCTCAATACGTTATTATTGATAAAATGTTGAAAGAAATGGATATATGTAAAGAATTTTCTTATGTACGTGATAATAGGACGAACGAAATTGTTTTTTATTTTAAATCTTTACGAAAAATGATTGATGCATATATGTCTCTAAATGGGAAACCCTATGTTCTTGATGACAATAATTTTATTTTTATATTTTGTAAAATTATTGAATATTAAAATTTAAATATCTTTATGCTTTACATATTTGACATTATATTTATAGGGTAAAGAAAATTTTCCCTATATTTCATTATTAAATATAAATTTACGCAATGTTTAACTTATAGAATATCAATAAATTTTTTTTTTCCTAAAAACTTAGTCACGAATTAGTATTAAATTTTTCACAGACAAATTATATTGAAACTTAGTGGATTAAATCCTCTTTACAAATTAGAATTAGAATTTTTATAGATAAACTATTAAAACTTAGTGGACCATATTCTCTTGATTAAAATTAAAATTTTTAGACAACTTAAATTTGATTTTAATGAACTACAATGTTTTGCTTTTACGATTTTAAATATTGAAAGTTTATTTTACTCAAATAAAATTATATCATGGACGAAAAATTAACTCTTACACACACTCAATATGTTCCTAAATTTCCCAAGTTATCAGGAAAATTATCTGAGACTTATCTTAACTTAATAGAAACATACTTTGAAGGACATATTGAGTCAGACTCATCTAAAGTTAGGACACTACTATGCAGCTTACCAATTGAGATTGTAGACCAAGTTACGTCGATATGTTCTAAAGCACAGTTAAAAGACTTTAATATTGTTTTTGGTAAATTGAAACTGTTAATTCCAAGTGAGGACATTAATGTAAATATAAAGAACTTTAACTTAGCGGTACAAGGTGCCGAGGAGTCCTTCCATACTTTTTATTTTAGAATTTCAAAACTTCATAAAAAATGCGATTTTGATAACGATACAAGAATGATTGAGAAATTAATAACTTGTTCTTTAAATGATAATATTAGAAGGAAGTTAAATAAACATAAGCACGAAGGTTTAGATAAGATGATGAAATTAGGAGTGGAGTTAGATGGCAGCAATATTAAACCAGACGTTAGCGATACAAATTATGTAGACAATGATAAAAAATTGGATAAAAATAAAAAGTTTTACAATTTAAACATGGATAAAATACCATGCAAAAGTACTTTTAGTAATAATGAGAATAATTCTAATGATTATGAACATAATAATTTTAAAGAAAATAATTTTAATTATAATGGACGTAACACTCATAAGGAAAATTTTGATTTTAAGAAGAGGAATTATAATGATTTTAGGCCTAATTATAGTGCTAGCCGAAACTATCAAAACAATATTTTTCGAGACAGTGAGGGTAACTCTAGAAATTTTCATAATAACCAATCTTCGAATAACAATTCAAACTATTACGGAAGAAACTCGATGTGGCACAACAACAATTATAATAGAAACAATGCCTGGCAATACAATAACAATTCAAACAATTATGGTAGAGGTACTTGGCAAAACAATAATTATAATGGGAGAAACAATTCCTGGTCTTACAACAATCAAAGAAATCAGAGTCAATATAATAATCGATATGGTTATCAATATCAATCCTATAATAACAACAATAATGGAGAAAATAATACGTGGAAAAATTATAATCAAAATATTAATCAAAGAAAACCATTACAATATAATGACGTGAATCAAAGTAACATCAATTGTAACATGAACATTGAAGAGATTGTTGAAGAAAAATATAACCCTACACAAAATGATAATGGTAGTGATTTTAATATCAACAATTTAACTGAGTTTAAACTTAATGATAATGCGTTCATGACCACTTTAAAAGTAAATGATGCTGTTGTTACTATGCAGGTTGATACGGGATCCAAGTTTACAATTATACCTCATGATATGGCTAAACAAATAGGTATTAAAGATCTTAAAAAGTCCACTCTACAACTCACAGCTTATGATGGAAACTTAATCAAAATTATTGGCGTCACTCAAGTTAAAGTAACCTACGAAGGTATCACCAAACACTTGCAAGCCGTGATCGTTAAATCTAATAAAAATGCGTTATTGGGACGTATGTGGATTAATGCTTTTAGTAATATTTTGAACAAATTTATAGCAAACATTGATACCAACTATGAAGATGAAATAAAGAAATTAATAAAAGATTGCGAATCTAAACTGACTAAAAAACCGATTAACAAAGGGAATGTCAAGATATATCTACGTAACGATGCCAAACCGAAAATCATACCACCTAGACGGTTACCTTATTCAAAGATAGACGCTGTTACTAGAGAACTTATGAGATGGATAGGAGATGGAGTCATTGAGCCTGTAACAGATGTCCGATGGGCAAGTCCGATAACCGCTGTCTACAAGGATAATGGGAGCGTTAGGGTTTGCGCCGACTTCAAAGACACTGTCAACCCAGCCCTTGAGGATTTCAGATACCCACTTCCAAGAATAAATGATCTTATCGCTAAGCTCAAGGAAGGGAAGAAGTTCAC